CAATGTTATTTCTAATCCACCAAATCAAAAAATTGTACTGGCTGCTAAGACATTTTGGTATTTTACAGATGACAGATGAATCACAATTGAATTTTCCAACACATCCTGTCTGCTTTTTTCTTGTTAACCACCCATCACGAAACTTGAAGCTCTTGGCATATAAGCAGTTTAGTAATACAGGATGGGCAGAGGGAGGGTCCTGTTCGCTGAGACATCACTCCCTTGACGTGGGCAAGGCCAGCATTTGGGCTGGACGGATCTTAAACTGCCAGCAGAGAGAACCAGTTTGAGTCTCATCACCGGAATGGAAGGACGGGTGATTTCGGTGACTTCCCTTGACTCTCTATAAATTGTGCGTTGCAGATGGCATTCTGGAATCTCCTGTCCTGGGTATTTGCAGGACCTCCAGATCTGCAGGCCTATCAGCAAAGAGCAGCAGCAGTTATGCTAACGTGGGTGGACTTTGCTGGCCACGAAATAAGCAGGGGAGAGCTGCATCTCTGTTCAGTGGCTGCAAGAGTTCTTTAAAACTACATTTCCTTCTAAGTTCTGGAAATTCTTAAGAGGTGCAGGTGAACCTTTGTGGTCTTGTATTCGTTCCTCCTACTTCCTCCTCTAGTGTGTTGTTTGGGGGAGGATTAACCCATGTGGCATCCTGGAGGAGGAGTCACACTCCTTTTGAAAGCCTCTGTTACGTAACTTTGATTCTTAGGCCCTGACAAGAAGTGCAAACTCGCAATACCCTCCAAAATGTCCCACGTGTCAGCTTGTGATCTCTCCCCGCAGAGCCCCAGGGTGACCCGTGATCTGGAGGGGTTATTTCAGCTTCTCCCAAAGAATTACCAACACTAACCTTTTTTGGGGTAACACTTGACTTATTTCTGAATATCTTTGGAATCTAATATATGTGACATAGAGTGAAAAGAAACCCAACATCCCAACAAAAATCCCAATGAATTCAGAAGTCCCTTGATAGCCAGGTCACCGCACGTTACCCACGTCAAATCTTCTGCACGCTCTCTCGCTGCTGTGGTGTTGTTATTCAGGAATTTGGGATGAAGGACACAGTTTGGTAACCAGACACACTGCAGTAGCACCAGTGGAAATGAGGTGTGGCATGGGATGGTTTAAACCCTGGCAGAGTGCATCTGAAATAATGCTTGGTTCTGCCATTCAGTCACGGGGGGCATCTGAGCAGCCCACTTCAGCTCGCCAAGCCAGGAGGCTAACAGTACCTACTTTGCACAAGAGTGAGGATAAAGGCTTAAGGACTGGGGGATCCTCGCGCCTGCCACCTCCTCTCCACCCTCTTTAGCTGACAGTGACTGCAAGCTCGGCTCCGGAACCTGGCCTCAGACAACAGACTATTTAGAAGTATCATAAGGAAGCCTGCACCATGAATCCGGCAAAAATACCACTGCCAAATCTGTGAACTGCTCACCATTTTTCAGCTTCAGCTGAGTTCAAGGCTCTAATTAAAGTACTTTCCATTTGCAAAACAACTGCAAACAGTAATTACATACTTCTCTTTCTTACCTTCCAGGAACAGCCTGAGACCGAGGCAAACCTCTGAATCCCCCGGAACTCGAGCTCTACAAACAGAACATCATATTCCCCTACCCCACTGTCCCAAACCATGTAATGGCTCCTGTGGCTCCTGCCACACAGACCCTAGCCAGGGTCACGGCACATTCTAGCCCTCTCAGATGTGTGCTGAGACTCCACTGTGGAAGGGACGCTGATGGGGAAGCCGGCACAATTGCCTTTAAGATGAAAGTTCTATTGTCACACATTCAGTCCACACTTAGGGTGATAAGCGGCAGGTTTTATAATGACTGGTTCCTTATTGTTTATATTGATGCCTAACTGAAAATGTTATATAACCTTAAAGTATGGAGCATTCTGGAGCTATTAATAACCAGCTGCGTCTAAATTCTGAGGACTCTTTAAAGTGAGTGTTGGAGAGGATCGTCTGATACTAATATATACTCATGCACAGAGACACCCACATACTCCTTGCTTATAGGTAACTGAGCCCCACAGAATGGGAATAACTTGTCCAAGGTCACAAAGCCAATTAACAACAGAGTCAGGAGTAAAGTCCAAGTTCCTGACCTCCGGAGGATGGCCTTTTCCTCTACATCTCCTATAGGTACCTACATACATCCTTAATATTGCACAAATGCCACACACAGCATGTAAACTGGGTCCTCACAATACTGGGCGTGTCAGCTCCAGCCAAAAGGGTTCAGGGTCTAGACTCCCGAGTTAGACCTGGGGTGCCAACCAGGGAAACGTCTCAGCAAGGGACTAAATTGTTGTTATCCATTTGTGAAACACACCCTTCCTGTTCTCCCGAAAGACATCTAAGGCAGCTAAAATATGTTTTACCAAGAGGCCATTATATGGTATGAAAGAGTACAGCTTTAGAGGGTTGGAGAAAAAAAGTGAGTTTAAGACAAAGCAAAATTGAAAAGGGAGAATCTATTCCTGATTGCACACTTCCACGCCAGGGGGAAGAAAAGAGGAAAAAATGGGAAGGGACTGATGAATATAAAATCTACCAGGAATGGGAGTAATATCTTACTGTCATCCGGCTTTGGGCATCGGGCATATAGGTGACATAAAAGTTGTTCTTTCATAATTGTATTATCTTTTCAAAAGTAACTTAGTGAAGATTGTTTCTCTGCAATCATTTTTATTCCAGACCTTACCAGGTAAGTCATGAGGGACTCAGACACAATCCCGGGGAACAGATATGCCTGCACAGGATGCCTTATTCGCCCTCAGCAAACCCTATGAGGTTGTCAAAAATGAAAGCTTTGCTGTGGTTTTGCAAATTTTAAAGTCACAAAACCCACTGGGAGCTCAGTTTCTGGGAAAAAGGTGAGACATACCCATTTCATTTGGGATTCAGTAATTCTTTACAAGATTCACTAATCTACATCTTTAAAAGAGCTATGACAACCCATTAAAGGCCCATAGGTCAAGTTGATTAATTCAGCTATAATTAACAGGCAAGGACTAAGTCAGGGTCTAAAATCCTTGTTGCCAACCTTTCTTGTCCCAGGCCCTCTGGGCCCGTGCTTAGGCAGGCTCCATCTGTCTATCACTGATATAACCAACAAACAGTGAATGGAGAAAATCTAAAAATCACTTTATGTGCATTGTTTAGGCTGAGCAGGTTTTTACCTATTCAACTATAATGGATTCTTTCTGGAAGGGTCAGGAAGGCTCACTGGCTTGCTGCTTTTTAGGGGGCTATACATCTAATTGATGCATTGTATTTCATCAGTTCTTAGGGCCAATGTCATCTCTCCAAATGAAATGCCTAACCTATCCCATAACCTCAATCTGGCACCTTGGGACATTTTATAGCCACCATGCTTTAGCCCAGTAAATAATCCACCAAAGTACTGCACAGACTTCATCTCCTTTAGGGGAAACCTGAATCTCACAGTATCCTCCCGACTATGTCCTCTTCTTGGAAATAACAACCTATTCAGCGTGTAGCTAGTAGTCCAAATGCATGTCTGATCAGCTCACACAGCCCAGCTAAGGCCTGCCACCCACTCGTAGAATCATTTCGTTGGAAGGGACCTGAGAGGTCATCCAGTCCAACTCTGCTCCTTATTATTAACAGAGAAACTGAAGCCTTCCTGACCCTTCCAGAAAGAATCCATTATTGCTCAGGGACTTTCCCAGCACTGACACCTGCAATACATGTCCTGTAGACAAGCAAACCCAACACTGACGACTCAACTCACCAACAAGCAGCTCAGATCGGGACCAAATGACTGCTGCGCGCGTGACTTCCCCGTTCAGGATCGACCAAAACGCACTTAAGCAAACAGTTAAAAGCTGCAAACCAGAGAAGCAGGGGCACCAGAAGACCTTATGCTTACATGAACGCCCCCTCCCCTTTTTTCCAAGCTGAAAAGTATGAAGTTCTGCCAACATGGTGGGTTGGCAAATGTGAGCCAAGATAAAATTCCTGACAGGCTTGGCTCCTGCATGGTGGCCATCTGGGATCAGCCCCACTGCCTGTTAAGTAACCATGTCTGAGACTTACACAACCAGAGGCAGGCAGCCTTGATGGCCCTCACCCCACAGAAAGGTTAAGGACACGGTTCTGAGGCTGGGCAGGCCCTGGACACACAGAATAGAAGGGGCATACAAAAGGAACCAAGTACTTCCCTTTCTAGTCTCTTAAGAGGCCTGGGAGAAACAGGAGATCAGGAAAGAAAGCATGCAGGGGGTCATATACTCCGCCCCCTTAACTAAGAGAAGTGGCTTTATACTTACAATTCACTGGGGTTAGCAGCAACGTGATGGAGAGATGGGCAGAAAATACATGCTACCAACAATTGTTTCACCTGAGCAGATATTCATCGGCACAACTATTTTCACACATGCAACAACTCCAGATAGAAGCAGTTAGAAGAAGAAATGGGACAGGTGTGTTTCTGTTACAGAGGGATCAGCTCTGTGAAGCAGAAAGAAACCACGGTTTCCAGTCCTGGTCCCCCACTTACAGGCCTTGTGACCTTGATTAAATCATTCAACCTCTCTGGTCCTCAGTTTCCAAATCTGAGCCATGGAGGAAGGGAGCCCTACTTCCTCGGGTGGTTTTGAGGCACTCTACTCAGCACAGGCTGGACACCCACTACGTGCGTGGTCGACACCTATGCGTGGTTTCCCCTACAAATGATGAGTCTGAACCCAGGATGGAAACATCCGTATCTAAACCAAACAGGTCTCCTGCCTGCGTGCGTGTCGAGCCTGCGGCTGCCACCCCGATGGCGAAGGAAAGCACGGGGTCTCGAAGACGCCCGCGCTGTTCCTCCTCCAAGCAAGGTTCAGGGGTGAGGTAATGGAGGGGTTCAATCGGGAGCCCCGCAGGCTTCCAGGCTCTGGGTGGGGGCCGGGCAGGGGGGCTCCGGGGCGGCCTCCCGGCCGAGCGAAGGGGCTTTGTTCCCGAGGCGGAGGGCCTGGCTTACCGAGCAGCGCATCCGGAGGCGGGCGGGGGGCGCGCGGGACACGCAGCAGAGCCACAGCCCGGCCCGGGCCCGGGGCGCCGGGGCCGGAGGAAGGCGAGGAAGAGGAGGCTGCCACCGGCTCGCGCCTCATTCTCCCGGGCAGCGCGGGCCCCCTGGCCGCCGCCAGCTGGGGCTGGCCTCCGGGCGCCGGACCCCGTGCGCGCCGCTCATGTCCTCGTCCGCCGCTAGCGAGGTGTGCGCGCAGCCGGGTGGTCTCCGGGCGGCGCCCCGGGGCTCCTCAGGCCCCGCCTGGGGCTCGGCGGGGGGACCTCGGGGAGGCAGCGCGGAGGAAAGAGGGAGAGAGAGCGTGAGACCGCGCGGAGCCGCGGGATCCCGCGGGGCGGGGGGTGCGGGCGCCCCGGCAGGACCGCGCCGCCCCACCCACCGCGCGGCTGCGCCCCGCGCCGCGCGCCCGCCGGGGCGCGGAGCCCCAGAAACTTTAGCACATGGCCGGCCGGGAGCTGCCCCGCTCGCCGCTCCTCCCCACTGCCTCCCCGCCCCAACAGCGGCCCCGGAGCGCAGCTTACCGGCGGTGGGGCGCCCACCCAGCCGCGCCGCCTGGGCGGGAGGAAGGGGCTGGCGGCGTCGGGGTCCCTGCCAGGGGGGCACCTCGGCGGCGGCGATCGACGCGCCTTAAGGCATCTTGGGCGGAGGCTGCCCCCCAGCCGATCTGCAGGCCGGGCTGGGGGAAGGCCCGTGGGCCCCCGGCCCCGGCCGCGGCGCAGCTGGGAACGGCGCGCGCGGGTTCCCCCGGCCCGGGGTCTGCGGAGCCGGCCCCGTTACCTAGCGACTCGCCTCGGGGAGCCCACGCTGACGCGCGAGACGAACCGGGATGCGGCAGCCGAGGGGAGGGGTGGGAGGGCCAAGGGGAGGGAGGGCGGGAGGCTGCGGCCCGAGCTCCTCCCTCCGCCTCCCCCCCGGCGCTGGGGAGGGGGCACCGGGGAGGACGTGACTCGGCCGGCCGGGCAGGCGAAGGGGCCCGCTGGGGAGCAGCGGATGTGGGAGGCGCGGAGACGCTCCTTCTCCCTCACTGGGGCTGCAGCAGCAGGTGGCGGCGACGTGGCGGGTTGAGGTCCAGCGCCCCGGCGCGAGCGCGGCGAGGGTGGCAGTGGGCGCGTGGGTGTGTGTGGCACGTTGCCACCCACGTGGCGTACATGGGGACCTGAGGATGTGGGGACGAAGGAGGAGCGGCCTCCTTCCTCTGCTCTCCCTCCTGCCTGGACATTTTGCTCCTGAGCTGCTGCCTGTCTCCTCATCATGGAAGTGCAGGTCGCGCAGCTCTTGGCTCTGGGCTCTTCCCAGGCCTGGGAAGTTGGGGACAGCTGGGTCGTGATCAACCACCCCCGCCTCCCGTGGGGGCCCCTCTCCACCCTACCCCTATGTCCATTAGCCCACCTTACAGGCCTTATACTTCAGGGTGCCTTCCTGTTTCTGGTTTTGGGGCCTTTTGGATTGGTGTTCAAATTCGGGTGCCTCCAAATGCCTGCGGTATGTAGGATATTCCCTAAGTCACTCAACATCTTCAGGAAAATGGAGTGTTTGTCCCCAAAGCTCACAGCTAAGTACTAACGTGCTCCATGAATGTGAACTTGGGTTTGCTGGGAGGCGTGCAGCCTGTCTGCTGATCCAATGGGATCTCACCAAATATACTCCCGTGCAGAGAGAAGTGGGACAGCGTCCTCACAGCAGGCAGCAACCACTGTGTTGAGGCCGGAAACTTGCCCACGTCCATTGGGTGCCTCAAAGCCCAGAAGCCAGGCCTCCTGGTTCCAAGGTCTGGTACTCCACATTGCCCCCCTTCAATAGCTGTTTGTGGGGAGTGTCACTTCTTAACTGTTCAGAGGTCCTCCTGTTTGTTTCACAGAATAGAAACCACCTGCCACCTCACCCATATGACCAAGCCCACACCCCTTCCCCACCCCGTTGTTCTCTGGTCCTCTTTGGTATGGATGTGGGGAGATAGAGGTAGAAGACAGACCCTACAGAGGAGGGGATCTCACCTGCTCCAGAACACCCCACACCGTGGTGGTGGGTCTCCACAGTGCAGATCCCCACGAAGGCGCTTTGGTTTTTGTTGACCCAGTGACAGGATACTTCCTCCTGTTATTATTCTTGGTATTACTATTATTATTAAGATGCTAGTAACTCTTATGGAAAAACCTTGAAACCTCATCCAAACAAAAACCTGCATCTTTTCTGGGAGAAACACTTTGCATCCCAGCCCACAAGCAACAGTCAAGATTCAACGTTTCCCAGTGACATGCAGAGCAAAACCTCTGAATCTCCTAACTAATTTATATAGTGGTGGCAGCCAGGCAGCGGGTCCACAGAAACTCCAGGATGATTGTTTTCTGGTGCCATATTGGCAGCTGGCTCTTTTTTTCAGCACAGACTGTACAAAATGCACGTAGAATTTGACACCTTATTTGGTCAGGAAAACCCAGTGTTTACAATAAACAAAACCTCAGAGCTTGTATTCCATGCACAAGCATTATCTGGGCCCCGCTACTCTGGGAAATAAGGCAGCCTGTGGGGAAACATGATTTCATAGCACAAGCATCGCATTCACGGTTCATGAAAATTTGGAAAATGTTGGCTTGCACCCTTAGCCCAAGGCTGCTTGTTCCTTCTTTACAGTGTGTGCTTGGAAAATGCACCAATAAGGCAGCAGGCAAGGCTTCCTCCCATCACATCATCATTCCTTGGGCTTTTCTCAGTAGAGCTGGTGCATGCATGAGCAAGTTGGGATTAAGGAAGCCCACAAATCCCCAGGACCACTCTTTCCAGGATGTCTATCTGCAGTGCAGTGGAGGAACATCTCCCCAAATTTGTAGGAACAGCCATTGAAGCCAAGCACATTGCTAGGCACTAGGATGCAAAGATGAACTATATAAGCCCTCTGTCCTCTGGGTCTTCCTAGGGACATTTAAAGAGGACTTAACCCATGCTAGGCATTCCAGGTACTAAGGGCTTTATAAGAGATCATTTTAACCTCATCAAAGCATGTAAGATAGGTGCATTATCCTTTCTTAGAGAAAAACTTTAAAAAGTTACATAGATTCCCTAAAGTGGCAGCTGGCAAATGATGGATTTGGGAGCTGCAACTGGGTCTCCCTGCCCGCAAAGTGCATGTTCCTAACCATTACCCTATTTTGTCTGCCAGGCTAAAAGAAAATGGAGACAATAATAATATAGAAAATGCCTACCTGACATTTAGACTTACAAATGAGATGTATTTGTAAAGTCCCCAGGATAGTTCCTGGAACAGAGCAAGCACTCAGTGAAAGAGAGCTTTTATTGTCACCATTAGACCTATGGGATGGTTGTGGGCAGAGACAGTGGGCAGACAGCTAGAGGGGAGGGCTTAGCCTCCAGGCAGCCACCCAGACAAAGATTTGCTGACTGCTCTTGCTGGGGCACCTCCCATCATTCATAGGGACTGTGGGGTCATGATGGCTGCCAACTGCAGCACTCTGCAAGACCACTGGGGGGGACATAGCCCACATGCAGGTCACTGTGTGAGAGAGGGCTTGGCAACCTGTAACGGGTGCATTGTTTGCATGGGAGGCAATACTAACTCACCCATTCTCAGGTTTTTCCCACAATGCATTCATCTGTGCATTCATTCATTCAATAAATGTTTAGTGAGTATTTACTATGTGCTCAGTATGCTGTTGGATCTAGGCATTCAGCAGTGAACACACTGCAGCCCCTACCGTCTGGTGACTTCCTAGTCCAGTAGGGAGAGAGGTCAGTCAGCAGGATGGTATGGCAGGACATGAAGTCAGTGTCAGGGTGCCTACAGTCTGTGCGGTTGCACAAAAGAGAAGCCCCTCCCTGGATTTAAGGAACTGAGGATGCTTCTGGTGGCAAAGTTTTCTGAATGGGTGGGAGTCAGCCATGTGGAAGCAAATGGGCCAAGAGAGAGGGGAAGTGGGTTGGGGCAGGGGAAAATGTTCCACAGACAAGGATAGCATTTGCAAGAACCTGGAGGTGAACTGTGGGGAACTTCAAATACTAAAATATAGAGCGCACTGAGAAAAGTTGCCTTTTGGTAACTTTTAGTAAGGGACAATCCTGTGTAGTTCAGCTGGATAAGTGTATGATATGGGGGTCTGGAAAGTAGGGTCCAGGGAGGAAGGAACTCCTTAGAAATGGTTCAGGAAAAGTTGGGAGCATACTTCCTTTTTCAAAATCAGGCTATCTACTTGTTAATGACTTTGGGGATTTTTACAGTACTTTGCAGTTTTCAAAGCCTTCCCATCCCATGTTGTCACTGGCCATCATCACATGTGTGAGAGTTTGGGCAAGATGACATAAAGGACAGGTCGTGGAGTGAAGACGACTCAGACAGGTTTCTTGTGTAGGAAAGAAGGCTTTGGGTCTGAAATCTTTCTTTGTGACATTCATGCTAAAGTGGTTATCAAAATGAATTAATCCGACTAACCATACTTAGGAAGGGTAGGAGACTTGGAATCAGAGCAACTGAGGACAGAAGAGAGATGAGAAGACCGATAACTTGGGAAGAGAGTATGTATCATCACCTTCAAATAGCTCAAAGGCATTCTCACAGGACAGGGTGTGATTGGCTCTTATGTATGGCCCCAAAAGGTTGAATTGAACTAGGCTACCAGGGATACAGTTGCTATTTTCAGGACAAGGAAGCATAATAACACCTAGAGCAACAATGGGTGAACTATGGCTCACAGGCCGAATCTGGCCCACTGAGTACTTCCATAAGCAAAGCATTCTGGGAACAGAGCCTGTCCATTCATTAGTGCATTATCTATGATGCTTTCGTGCTACAAGAGTTGAGTATTTGCTACAGAGACCATAAGGCCTTAGTACTAAGCCTGAAGTATTTGGTATGTGCCCCTTTGCAGAACAGAGCAACCAAACACCAAAAGGCTGCCTCGTGAGGTAGTAAGGTCCCCATCACTTGTAATATTCAAGCAAAAACTGAAGTCCTGTTAAGTAGCGATGTTACAAAGTTCCCAAGTGATCTTTAAGTTCCCTTTGAGATCATAAGAGTCCAGCAGTTAATGCAATTTTCAAATTTCTTCACTGCCTGCCAGTCACAATAGTTACAACTATTGATAAATAACTCATCTATGGGGTAGACTCATAGGTTCTCATCACCAGACCTGAAGCCCATCAAAGAGAGCAATGGCTTCCTCTGCCTGTTTCATATAAGATATATAATGTACCAATTCAGGCAATCTCAAGAACGAACCTCTGCTGGTATCTCTGTACACCCAATCCTCTCCCAGTGGGAGAGACACACTTACATGTAAACTCATTAATGGATGACTGTGTGATCATGTTTAGGCCACCAATATATGAGGCTCACACATTACGGTGTGTTTGAAAGTGATGAGTTACGGTAGAAACTAATTTAGCTGTATTAGACTTCTGTTGGGGTCTCTGGGGACATCGTTCAGCAAACTCTATGCCAGACCTTGAACTGGGCAGAGCACCTGCCCTTGAAAAGCTGGTTGCCTAGGTCCCAGCTAGCTTAGCCAGAATGTGACAAGTATCTGGTACGTCCCAAAGGCAGGGAGATGCTTACTCAGCCAGGTGCACTTAATCCAGCCAAGCAACATTGCTGTCCAGCACTGTTAACAGAAATTTGCTGTCTTTCCAACTGGGATTGCAAAGACAAGCGAAACGGTCTCTTTAAGGAAAACTAAAAATCTGTGGTCACTTCACTGTATTTTGTCAGCGAGATTGGATTCAGACAGGTTCGATTTCCCCACCTCAAACTGTGTTGCAAACACTGTGATAGAAACGAAAGAAAATTTTCTCATGCAGGAATCCACAGCCAGCATAGA